GGGGGCAAATATTGTCTTAAGGACAGTATCTAACGCAATTAGAACACATCCAAATCTTTTGATTCTCGCATTATTGTTAGATTCAAGTTTCTAACAATAAAGTTCATAAATCTTTCATCCTTATTCTTTAGTGTCTTTGTGTTGTCTCTTTGATTACCACCCCCATATACTTTCATAACATATATTACTGGGATATGCTTCCATATAGGGCTCTTTTCGGTAGTGAATGCTGGACAATAACGGGTTGAGAAGTCAATGTTGATGGTTGAGAGAGGAATTTGGAACCTTTGATAGGCTTAAATGGACCTCTTTTCATGTATTTTAACCTGATGGTCCCTTTATAATAATTTTTTTTTTAGTAAAAAGGTTATATTGTCACCGGCGTAAAAAGTTTATGGTACAAAACTTTTCTCTATGCCCAAAAATATCTATTAAGCAGCAAGACTTATCTTATGCATAAATCAACTCTGGCACTTTTTGTTTAAAACCATTGGACAGAGATGTAACCTATTACACCAAGCGTTAATTTTTTGATAATTAGGAACTTTCTAGATAGATGCATATATATGTAATATTGAGGTGAAACAGAAGATGCTATATTACCTTCGACTCAATTGCTGGTTCTTTATAGAAGATAAACCTATTTCTTACCCTCCATAAGAAACATATAGATGCATATCATGAGACTTTCAAAACTACTCCTAGCGTATCATTGTCCACCTGAGATTGATGGCCCTGTTATTGTGAAATACTGTTAGTATAAAAATATGCAACATTTTCCATTAATGGTGCAATATTTATATGCTACATGCGCCATTGTAAGTTTTCAAATGAGCCATTTTTTTAAAAATTTTTTTTGGCAAGTGTGGGACGCTAATTAACCAAATGTGCAATGCATTATTATCTATCAAGTGTGGAGTGGTATTTTTTTTTGGTTCCAACGTAGAACGTCTTCTAACTAATTGTATAACACTTAATTATCAAGTATGCAATAGATTAAGTAATTGTGCGATTCATTTTTTATCAAATGATCTATGTCTTTTATTTTTAATATAGTTTTCCACATAATTATACTACATATAAGTTTCAAAAAGTATATTCCGCTATAATATTGTTTAATATTTGGATACACAAGTCCAAACAATGTATTAAAAAATTGGATTAAAGTTTAAGAAAGAAAACATTTAATTTGCTAATATTGTCAAAGTATTGTCAAAATATTTTTTGCCAATATTATGGATGGAAGAATGCGGTCATCATTGTGACACGTAAAACGCTATTTAGTCAAATATGCAATATTTTTTTTTCAAAAAAAATTCACTAATTAAAGGTCAATGTTTTCTTACGCAGTACATGTAACACAATTTGTGCAATGCACGAGAACAATTCTAGCTAGTTACTAACATTTGAAAACAAGCTAATATGTAACTACACCTTATAGATAATTGATATGTCTTATATTCAATTTGTCTACGCTTTAGAAAAAGATTTATTAAGTTAAGAGATATGTAAACGTTGCAAGTTTGTACCTATACAACAATTTTCTATGTGAAAAAACTACTTATTACAAATTCACTCTCAAAGTACTATATTATAACAAAATAAATATAAAATTTTACAATTTTTTTAAAATTGTAAAATTATGTTACATATGAGCCAAGCATTACCGCCATACTATGATAATGTTTTGGTCATGTTTTCTGATATAATAATGTTTGTCCGTGTTTGTTTGTAAATTACATTCATATTTTTTTATATTTCGTATTCAAGATAATGTACATTTTAAAAGATAAAATATTTGTGTGACTCATTCGTGACATACTATGATAATGTTTTGGTCATGTTTTTTGATATAATAATGTTTGTCCGTGTTTTTTTGTAAATTACATTCATATTTTTTTATATTTCGTATTCAAGATAATGTACATTTTAAGAGATAAAATATTTGTATGACTCATTCGTGATAAAGTTTTTGAGGTAACAATCAATAAAATTGATATTGACTTTTTGAAGTATAAGTTCGTAAATTTTTACAAATAGATTTATTAAACTCAAAATGAAAGTTTTAGCAAAGTGAAAAAGAAAAAATAAATGTAAAGATATATAGTGTTTTATATAACATCTCTTTAGTAATTTCTTTTTTTTTGCTAGATTTCCCTAAAATACTATATTTTATACATAATTGATGGTTTTTCATCCATGAAAATAAATTAAATAATTATTTTTAAAACAATTCCACTATAGTGAATGTAATAAGAATGGGTGAAATATATGGGAGGAAAGTAAATTTAAGATAGCAAAATTTACAAAAAAAAAATTTTAACACTTTAATGAAACGAGGTCTCTGGCGTTTACATGCGTCAAAAAAAGACTTTGAACTTGAAATGTTGTAAATAAGACTCTGAGTTATATAATTGAACAACAAGTGTCGATTGAAAACTCTCCTTTAATATATAATATATATTACTTTTATATTTTGGTAAGTTGAAATTTAATATTGGTAAGTTTATCAAAAATTTCAAATATCTGTTATTACATACATTTGAACCGGATCATATAGTTAAAGTTCATCACGAAACCCTAAAATGTTTCTTTAATTTACTAAGCGCAAATTTGAAACAAATTAAAAGTGATAATTTTAGGGTAAAGCTACGGTCCCGTTGTTGTTCAGTTGTTCTAATATTAAAATGTACAATTCTTTTTAAGTGATGGTATATTGTTTAGTTTCAAGTGCAGTTCTTGGTTTTTAAGTGTGCAATACTTTTTTTTCTCTCAAGGATGCAACCCTGATTAACTAGACGTGCAATACTTAATTATCTATCAAGAGTGCATGATAAGTTCTTTCAAGCATGCAGTGTCTTTAACTAATTGTACAATACTTGGTTATCAAATGTACAATTTTGTTTTCAATGAATTGCACAATTTTTTAGTCAAGTGATCTATAACTTTTATTTTAAACATAGTTTTGACATAATTTCAATCAAACATTACTTTCTAAAAGTGTGTCTTGCTGTAATCTAAATCAAAATTTTGATACACATTTTCCAAACAATGTATTGTAAAAAATTATTTTATAATACAAAATTAATGTTTATATATCTCTTAATTTAAACAATGTAACGTTTATATATCTCTTAATTCCGAAAAATTATTTTATAAAACATAAAATAAAATTAATGCAAAACATATCAATCATATAAGCAAATGCGCAATTATATTTTAGCTTGTGTGCAATTAAGATCGTAAAATAGAGAAATTAATTGAGAATTTATGGGAATATTTACCATTTTAAAGTCTTGCAAGTGGAGCTCCTCTGGGTCAATTGGAATCTTTCTAGAGTTTTGTAATCTTCCTACTACATCGCAAAGGCAGTTGATCTTGAATCAATAGTCCTTTTTATATGTAAGATCTAGATTGATGATAATGAATCATCGTGCTTATTACCAGCGTCTTTGATTGGAGTTTCATTAGTAAGGTGTACTGAAAATAATGTCATTGATTTTTAACCAGTGTCTTTGTAGACAACCTCATTAGTGTGGTGGTGCGATCATGAGGGTAGGATATTTCCCTGATCATTTCTAGCGTCCTTAATGACTTTGTTCTGCAATACGATGGTTCGATCATGTGGTTTTACTTTTGTAATAGAATAGCTTTTATTTATTATGAAGTTACAGCATTCACATGTATGTTGTAAGTTTTAAGTGTTGTCAGTCTGTTTTTTATTCCACATTAATAAATCGAGTTCTATCCCTGTCAAATTCCACATTAATAAACTCTCAAACCTTCTTAATATAATTAAGTTTACATGTATCATTTGGTATGTATATCATATCTTATGATGTTTTATAATTAATTAAATTTGAACGGGACACAATTCAAATTGATGAGGGGACCCTAGAATTTTTCATAATTTTATCGAGAAGCTAATATTGTTGCTTCTAATGGATAGAAAGAAATAACCGAAAAGGGAAAATTGAAAGAAGAAGTTATTGAGGGGGAGAGAGAGAATTTAGACTTTGGTGATTTTATATATCTGATCATCAGATTGATTGAGCATGAACTGTTGTAAATAAAGGAACATTAATGGAAAAAAAGTAAAAAGATTCGTGTCCTATGAGTGCAATAGAAATTTTTTTTTACCTTTTTTTGGACAATTCGGAAGCAGTCATGATACACTTATCAAATTCTTCTGTTTTCGATGTGTGTACTGAATACGTGTGTAATAATAGAAGAGAAGTAGAAGAACAAGAAACTATGTGTGACCTTATCTTTTCGTTTCTTTTCTTTTCGACAAAAAGATGTTTATTCCCCGCTCAAAATTTTATAAACATTTTAATTAACTAAGGACGTGATAGTAACAATAACAGAAAACAGGAAAGCCATGAAAGATATGAAACATGTAGTAATTAAGATCTGCGACATAACATATCTGAAATCTAAAGTTATTAAGACCATGTTTATGAATATAATATGTCTTTGAGGCATAAAATTCCAAAAATGCATAGATTACATAGTAAAACTTTTCTATCCAACTATTCGTACATATGTTGATATAGGATAAACAAGTAGATATCTTCCCCCTTAGTTTTTGCCTAATATATACTGGTGAAGGTATTTCAATTCCAGCTAATAGAAAAGTATCAACAGATGATGATTCCAATTTTGAGCTAAAATTCGACAGCTCCGTTTCAATGGTACCAGTGATTTTTTTTTTCTTTAGTAAAACTTCATAGCTCCGTTCCAATGTGAGTTCTGTGGAACTCATCCTGGGGATAATTCATCCGTAAAGAACAATGAAATTTTTTACGGGAATGTAATGTCGAAGTTTGGCGATAGACCTTTTGGCAGGCGAATTCCAATTCCTAAGGTTGAAGATGTGACTTTCGCAATTTGGTAAAGAGGCCCCGCCTCCAAAAATCCTCTTCTTTTATCAAAATTAGGGATTTAAAAAACAGGAGAAATTACGGAACCCAAAGTTAGTTTTAGCGTCAATAGGTGGGTACCGGGTACAATGTTAATGAATCCAATAAATACCAAGAAAGCCTACAAATGGCTGCGCTAAAATACTCGAAGATTGGACGTCCCTCTAGTTCTATAATTTCAAAATATTCAAGCAGGAATCACAATAGAGGGTAAATTATTACGGCATATTTTTACGATATTGCAAGTATGGAAAAGTTCAATACATAATAAAAATTACTTCCTCTATCTAAAAATTATTGTCCAGTTTGAGATTTCATTTTTAGTACAATTTGAATTAAAAATGATAACCCAAACTCGACAATAATTATGGGACGGAGGAGTACACGATCTAGTAATTATGATATTAGTGCAAGGTTATAGCATCAAAATATTACAATTTATTTAGCATAAAATTACGGGCCAGGATCAGACTAGCTATAACGGACAAGGCCACTACTTGACCACCTTGTTGTCATGCTTTTAAATCGTTCCCTTTTCCTGCTAAACATAAAAGCAATAATAAATAAATTAACAGTAACTCGAATATTACATTCTAAGGTTGTAATATTACACCGAGGTTGAGAAATTTCAACTAGATAACAAAGTCTCAAACTTAAATAGCTAAAAAATCCCCAACAAAATTAATTTATGAAGCATTACATTTACCTGGAACTGGGTGTGGGGAAACCCTGAAAAAACTGTCAGCCAACATTGTCCTAGCTTGATTTGGGATGGAGTTGTAAGATGGAGCAGATCCTCTTTTACTGGGAGGCCTTTGGGATCAACACATCGCACGTTTGGAAGTCTAGTTCCAAATTGTGCTTGCCGTACAATGTTAATATTTTTTGTGTTATTGCCAGAAATTATAGCCACCTAAATTATAACAATGAAAGAAACCTAAATTAGTGAAATTAATTAAAGAACACAGAAATTAGTTGGGGATGATGAATAAAATTTATAAGTGACATGGATGACCTGAATAATAGGAAGCAACGGCGAAATCAAATCAGCCCGAACATCTATGAAAAATTTCTTCAATTTCTCTCCGTAGGAACGAGCATCAGCTTCATACAGTGTCACTTTCACCTTGATACCATAAAAGAGCCCTGATAAATCCTCCACTCTTCATGGCGAATCTAGCTCTATAAATTAGCCGGTTGTAATTGTCAGTGCCACGCTCCCACATGCTTATATTTGTATTTCCGATAGCGCAAGGAACCAGGCCGATGTGCCCTATGTAATGGTCCCTCCGCAGTACTGAGTGAGCAAACGGCATTCCCGGGCCGATTCCGCAAACCTTTTGCACGTCTATATCCTTGTGCAATGGCTCGCGTGCTTCGTCCCATATATAGTTGGCGGAGAGCCGAAGAATAGATCGATCAGGCCGGCACTCAGGCGGCACAATCATGTCCCAAACGCCTCCATGTATCCCTCCTCTTCCGGCCATGTTACTTTGGCCTGCTTATAGAAAGATGTTGAAGGGCTTCGGGAAGAAATTCCCCTCCACATTGGAAATCGAAAGGAATCCAAGGACCAATAAAAGAAATTGGATCATTATTCCTGGGTTAAAATCCAACGTTAGTCATCAAAATTCAAGTGGTTGTATGTATTATCTGCGAAAAAAAAATGTAACGAAATTTATAATGCGCAATATTGAGTCAAATGAGCATCCGTTTGCGACTTGACACTACACACTACAAAAAGTGGCTGTCTGGAAAAATTTTAACTTGACGTTAAAGCACTAGCAAGGGCCAGTCAAAATTTTAACTTGTGTTGTAAAATCCTTGACAAGTATGTTGCGTGAAATTTATTGGAACACCATGCTCGTTATTGAAAAATGAAATTCATCAAAATCCAAGACAAAACAACTTGATAAGTAAGTTACCGACTGACCGTGATGAAACTGATGCATTAGTAACGCTATTGCTTATTCTAGATAAATGAACATCATGACATGAATTTATCAATTAAAATGAAAATCACCTGTGTATGTTGCAAACAAGTTTCCCAAACATCTTGCTATTACATGAATAAATCTAAAAACCACAAAATTTTAGGCTTATGAAATACATATCCAGAAAGCTCACGCAACTAGATCATATTTTGTTTGCTTACCCAATTTTTAAAAAGTTACCAAAATGCATGTTCTTCCCTGTTCCCTTTTTTTTTTTCCTTAAAGAAAGTTAGGAGTTATTCAGTATAAGTAAAATTCCTTTTCAAAGCCCATTTTCGTCTTCTTCTATATAAATTTTGATTATTCAACATCTTGGAAAGAATGATATAAAGAATTCAAAGCCTAGCCATGAGTGATGATGTACTTACGAAGATGGAAGCGCAGAACGCTTTCTTTTTTCCATTTGACGATTCAACATCGTTGTTAGGTTTCCAGAAAACAAAAGAAAAAGAATCGATGCATTATTATAGGAAAGACACGAGAAAGATCAATATTATTATAATGGAATTGCGTATTTTTATGATTTATTACAAATGTTAAAATAGTTTTTATATCGTTTACTGTGTGATTCTAATCGTTTATTTCCTAAAAAATGATGTCCATTGATCAACAAAAAGAGGAAATTGGACATCCATTTATTTAACTAATTATGAAATGACGATATTAATTTAAGCAAGCGGCTGTTTAGAACCTTTTTTTTTTTCTTTTTCGGGGCATGAAACAAAATTGATAATAATAGCTAAAAAAATCCTTTTATTGAACTCATTTTTAAGCATCTATGATTCTAGTTTGCGATGAAATCATTGCCGCAACAAAAATCTTGTTGGATAAAGGCCAGGAGCATTGAAGTTTTTGGCATTTACCAAATCCAAATGAAAATCAAGATCTAACTGGGATACATTCCCTTTTTTAATTGTTAAAAATCAAATGTTAAGGCAATGAAAACTACTTTTAAAATGAGGTAACAAGATATCTTGGTTTCAATGGCTGAATTCAATTTCAGCTGAAACTCTTAAATGAAAGGAGAAGCCAATTACTGTTTTTGTTTCTTGTTTCTTTTATTTATTTATTATTATTATTATTATTTTTTTTTGCGGAGAGAGGTTGAATCAATATTTGCTAAAGAAAGCCTAACATAGTCTTCTAAGTTATCAGAAAAAATTTTCCTTATTTAACCAATTTAGGAAAATCATAGTAAAACAAAATCATGCCTATAATAATAATATTTGATCTTTCCTTTGCCCTTTTAAAAAATTCTAGCAAAATGTAACGACCTTTGAAATATTCCAAAATCGATTTCCTTCATGTGAATAAAGACTTTTGAATAGTCAACTAGACAAACCAGTGAACAAAGAAAACCCAACGATACAAGGCCACTAATGAAAATATTTCATAAAATAATTGTTTGTGCAATGAGGTTTATTTCCTCAATTCCTGACAATTTAAAACGTTAAGATTGTGACTTCTTCATAATACCATAATTTCCAACCCAAAATACATTCGACGACATATTCATTAATACTATGAAAGGATGGAATAAATTGGATAAACCACTGACCACTCCACTGTCTCCACTCTTGCTATCAATCATTGACATTTAGAATCATGCAATACAACAAGGGAAAATGAATAACTACACACTCTAGAATATAAAGATAACTATTTTCAGAACCACTTTCCATAAACGCACGTAAGCAGAGAACAAGCATAATTCATCCAACCAATATAATTAAGGAATCAAAACTTCATGAGCAGAAACAAAACAATTGGCTTTCATAGAAGACAATTTGCACAAGAAACAACTTCCACAATTAATAAGAAAGAAGTAATACATGTATAGAAAAAAGGCTTAGGAAAACCTGACTGAGAAAAGCGCCGATGCCGTAAATCACACATGTTAAATGTGCTAAATTGCCAAGTCGAATCTTATTTGTGAAGACTCCGCAACCGCCTTTAATTGACAAAGCGTCTGCAATAATATTCAACTCAAAATAGTATGGTCGGAATTTTTGAACTGGATGATTGTTTATCGCTAAAATTGTTCACAGAAGAAAAGTACGAAGGAAATTGAAAGGGTGTCATTTGAGATTGCATCACGGCCTATTTATACGAAATTTCTTGGTGAAAATGCGTTATACTTCAGCGAATTGACATGATGTCATTCGAGATAGTATTTGGAGTTTTAACTCGAGCATCCAATGAAAGGTAATGTTTTTTTTAACCAAAGGGAAAATAACCCGTTTTTCTGGATCATTGAAATAAATGTTGTTTTACACATAGTAGAATGATTACTTGAAAGATGCGATTGAAAGGCAAAAAATAGAAGACGTGACACTGGCAAACGAAATGATAAATTTGTTGTATATGTTCCTATGTTTTCATAAAATAATTCACGTAGTGAATTAGTTTTACTCGTAACTTGATTCTTCCTTTCTTTTTAATTAACGTCTAAAACTCAGGTTTTGTTGTGTGGCGCTCTGCTTTATATTTTAAGGTCTACTTGTGCTTCCAACGTTTTATTTTCAGTATTTAAATTCAAAGTCCATCCAATTACTCGGTTCGAGATAAAGGTTCCACTGATACAAAACTGGAACATCCAATGAATACTCAGATCTGTCCGTCCATTATTCAAAATTATTTTGGCAATGATCCAATCAAAGGCAATGTTTTTTGGCTATAACAAAATTATATAGTCAAATTAGATTGCCATCTTCGAGTCCTTTCGAATTTCAAATGAGTTTGTGTCATGGCTTGATGTATAAATAGAACAAATCATGTAGCCTTGTAGGCTTCCGTATGAAAACATGTACAAATCAATAAGAAAAAATTATGAATACTAATTTAAATGTAGACACCAAAGAGGCAGAAGACTCGATCCAACCAGATTGGATTCGTTTGCTCAAACATCAAGCATTATGACATATTACTAAATTTCACCAAAAACATAAGCACTAAACGAGTGGTAATTTAATGAAAAAATGCTGCGCTCGAAAAACCAAATTAAAAATGGATATGCAAATGGATATTGTCTCACTTTGAGGAAAAAAAACACCGACATCATCATGCTTTAGCCAAAATTATGATAGAAATCAGATTTCTTGATAATTAACCTACGAGCCAAAAACTTTGGAAACACAAATCTAGAACAAAAAAAATAATCCACAACATAAGAATAAGTAAATATAAAAATCGTTCCAACTTTTGTTATTGATGGTACACCTTTCATAATTTCTAATTAGAGCATAAAATTTTGTCAACATGAGAATCATATTCTACTCGCGTACCGTTTTTGTAAGCTTCTCATGAAATTTCATAGAAAACGACGGTTCAAAGGTTCACCCATCCAAACTAAAAACAATTTGCCGGAAGGAGCACTAGTAAAGACAATCTCCGCCTACCTATTAAATACCAAAGATAAATATAGATTTTTTATTCGAATTTATGAATTTCATTTTCCTTCACGTATAAGTTATATGTTTTTTCTAATTTTTTTTATAAATCTTGCCCAATAGCCATAGAAATTATTAATTAAAATATACCACTAAATTACTCAAATTTGCTGGACCATTTCTAGTAAATTTGAATGAAGCAATCTTTATTTTTCCAAAAAAAAAAAGGACAATAGAAAAGACTTGCTTGTCCACAGCTATCGTGAAAACATATTCATTAAGACCCATTATAATAATATTGGGATCCTATTATCATACTTGTTGGAGATGCAACTTCACTTGGGCCGACAAGCATTCATGGGTCCGATAATATTCCTTTAGGGTTTATTGGACTGGCTAAAGCCCTAATAATGGCCCAAGCCTATCATTGAAAGGAATATTCTCAAGGAATATTCCCCCCACTTTATCTATATATACCTCATTTTTTTGTGGTGGAGAATAAGCTCACTTTCACTCCCTTCCTAGCTCACATGCTTTATTTCTATCACTCCTTGTACTGACTTGCTCGTCGGAGTGCTAACCCTTGTTTTGCAGGTCTCAGATTCATAGACACCGTTAACTCTCATCCTAACGGATTCCACCTTCGACAAGTGGCGCCGACTATGGGGACTTAGGTTCTTGATTGGAGGTTTGAGTTTGTGGTCCGTTGTCTATAGATTTGGACCAAAAAAGGGTTGTAAATGCGAGTTTGAAGTTTCACACTCCTCTCTTATACTGGGAGTGTTGAGCTGGGATTTAATATTGAATTGAGAAAGCCTTTTGGGTGAATGTTTCTGTTTACATGAAAAGGTGAAGCCTTTTGGTGCGGAGGTTTTTTGATCTCCTTATTTCCAATTTTAAATAAAGTTATTCAAACCCCATTCGTGAGGAGTTTGGCATTTACCCCATTCCCATGTGTATCCTTTTGGATCTGGATTCATTCAAATTAAAAAAGAAAGAGCAAGCAGCCTCGGTAGAATCAACTTCGGCATTGCCAACAGCTTCGGCGGAAGCCGATTCCTAAACTTGAAGCATGTTGCCGCCGGCAACCATTTTCAGTTCCTTGCAACTCCTTTATCACCGGCCGCGTCCAACTTCACACTCCGTCTTCAACAGTCGGTCCCCAACATGGCACCTGTCGCCTTCCGCAACCATTCAAGCCCGATGCGGCACCGTCGTCGAACAAAAATATCAGCCTTGGAGTTTGGGAAGAGGGCCGCGTCGGGGAGCTTTGCTTTGGAGCCGTCATCGGGTTCGGGTTTTGGCTCCGAAACGGAAGCTTCGCCAATGGTGGAAGCTTGACCACGATGCCACCTTCGAAGCAACATTTTCACTTTCGTAAAGCTTCGTCTTCGGCTGCCGGTTTCACCTTCGTAAAGCTTCGTCTTCGTCTTCGCCGCAAAAGGGGTCATCATCGGCAGCCGTGGCCAGGATCATGTCAAATTGGTCGGCTGGGAGCTTTGTCCTCGACATCGTCAGCGTCGGCCGGCTTACCAACTCGAAGGGTCAACTCCCCTCCTTGGCAAAGAAGCTTCAACCGTCGTGCAAGACAACCAGAGCTTGCACGATCTTTTGCAACGGCCTCTGATCGGCAGCAGGAACTCCATTGACGTCCGCGGCTTCGATCTGGACCACGGCTGCCGAGGGTTGCTTCCGTCTCTTGCAGTCGTCCTAGATTTTAGCGTTGTTGTCGGCAGTAATGGACGGCGGCGGCAGCTCCTTCCCCTCCTTCGTCGGATTCAAAAGCAGCAGCTCAAGCGAACTTTTGTGGCGTAACTCCGCCTTCGGCCATCGGCTTCGCCTTCGCAAAGATTCTTCCTCGGCCTGGTAGCCGCTCCATGCGCGGCCGGAAATCACCCTCGTACACGAAGCCGCGGACTGAAGAAGACGAAGACAAGCTGGACGTCGGTCGGGAAAAAAGGCCAGAATTGCAGAAAATTCAAAATTTTGCAATTAGGTCCATGTTATTGTAGTTATCTACAAATCGGCCCCAAAAGTTCAAAATTTATAAATCAGCCCCAAAAGTTCAAATGTTTACAAATTGGCCCCAAAAGTTCAAAAATTACCAAATTGACCCTAAAGTATGAAAATAAGACAATCAGACCCCTGACGAAGATTTGGAGGTCTATCTGGGAGCTTTACAAGCCAAATGCAAGGATCTTGGGCATCATTTGGAACTCTCCAAGGCTATTGCTACGCTGTAGACCTATGCAACTACAAAGATAAGTGTTCTTAACCACTTTATCACCAATTGATAGTTTATTTTCTTAAATAATTTTATTTGGGGGGAGGAGTCGGGTATGTGATTATACATATTTCCTCCTTGCTAATTGATTATGCATTTATCGATGCTTAAAGTGACATCACCAATATAAATACAACATTATGGCATGACATATAGAGAATACATCTATCATGGTTCATACACTCTTTGCGCTTTCGAATATGGTTCGTATTTGATTATGTGCTATGTCCCCCCTTACCCTCAGAAATATGAGGAAAAGGAAATAAAACTATTTAAGAAAATATATACTTGTTCTTGGGTAATATATCTATGCTTGGTGGTTTGAAAAGGTGGGTTGTTTTTTCAAAATTTGGTCCGAAGACGATCTACCCTTCACTTTGAAAAACCATTCTGAAAATTAGATATAATATCATTTCCAAAGTTTTGAGTTATTGAACGGGTGGCACGTCTTTTATCTTGAACACTCGCATTCGTGTTGTGAACAAAGATGTAATCCTTCTCTCGAAACTTTATTAACAAGTGTACGGGGTTAGTATATAATATACTCTTAATTGCCTTTGTGTGTACTAAGAACAAAGGAATAACCCCTTTCCAAAATCTGGATGCCATGCAGGGCTTCACAAATCCGAGGACGTCCACATGTCTGAGGATGCCATCTCAGTCCATGGATGCCTACATGTCCGAAGATGAAGGCTCATCAATGCGCCAGAAAGTCAGCAAAGCCCGTCTCGATCCCCGTGGTCGACGGCACCATGTGGCCTCCACGGCCTACGGCACTCCTACAGCCTCCGCGGTCTGGGAGCTTTTATAAGCCCGTCTTGATCCCCGTGGTCGACGGCACTGTACGGCCTTCGCGGCCTACGGCCTCCGCGGTCTGGGAGCTTTTATAAGCCCGTCTCGATGCTGTGGTCGATGGCACTGTACGGCCTCCGCGGTCTGGGAGCTTTTATAAGCCCGTCTCGATCCCCGTGGTCGACGGCACCGTGTGGCTTCCATAGCCTACGGCACTCCTATAGCTTCCATAGGCCTTGATGCGTTGGAACCTGTATTGCCTTCCCGAAGGCACGAGTTCCAAGGCAGACGCTACTTGACAGCCTGGAGGTGCTAGAGAGTCAGTCAGACCCCTTCGACCTTCTGGAGACGAAGGTCCGATCCCACCACATTTAATCAGGTACATGACATCTTTCTAAGATCTTTTGTGAACGTACCATGTTTCCTTTTTATCCTGAAGATCTAGCATACATGTGAATTGTGCCAACTCAAATACTATAATGATATAACCCATCTAGCCCAGGCCGCTAATGGGCACTAATTACTCCTTGAACTCATATGGTCTTGATTTGCCTTAGGGTTAGAAGCTCATGTGGCATTGATCAACCTTCGAGTTTCACACTCGTATGGGTTTGACTTGACTTCGAGTCGAACACTTACACGGTGTCGATTAGACTTGAAGTTATATGCTTCTACAGTTTAGATCCACCTTTGAGTCAA